TCACTCAAGCCAGGCCAAAGTTAAGGATGTTTGTGGGTCATGTTTGCTCTCTACCCTATAATATATTTGCAAATGAAATATTTCTATTCATCACACTTAGCAAATTACCACGCACACCCAGTGAGGTTACTAACGACGCCATCAGACTCCATAGCAACCTTTTACTACACTCAAGTGCATTGGTAAGTCAGGTTCCTAAGGGGGGGGGGGGTAAGGTTGCTCTCTTTCTCTCGCTCTCTCTCTCTCTTTCCTTCATTTTACAAATATCTATGGTATTGTCTCGTGTAATTACAAATTGCTGGTGCATATATTTATCTTGAATTTTTGTTTTACTTCGACACTGCGTAATATCATATTAACATTAACATAGCAGGGACGTTATACGCATTATTTCAATCAAATAATGAAATTAATAATTTTGTTGATACTTCACTGAACCATAAAATTTTCATCTCCCTTAGGCGTGTGTCATTTAAAATTAATGGCATCCGTTAATAAATTAATATTGGATTGGGATATGCGCGTGTGTAGGTGGATATGTGTGCGTGTTTAGGTGTGTGTGCGTGTGTGGGTACTCGTGTGCAACAAGATTTCTGAAGAGATTCATCTAATCATGTAGGCCAATAAAACCGTCACTAATATGTCCGAGGACCTGTTCTAACCTTTAGATCTACACTTGGAATGAAATCAAAATCTTTTCTTTTCTTTCCTCAAGCCAGGTCACAACCATGACCACTCAGTACAGAGTAAGATTTCCTCGACGTGAGGAAGGTAGAGCAGACGACGGTGCCCTCTAGTAGCCACTTTGTTTTAAAGACAAGTAATCCCTGGCCAAACGCAGTTCAGTGTCAATATTCCGCGCTAAAAAGATGGCAAGAAAACACACCTAATAAAACCGTAATATTTTCCGACTCCCTTAGTATTTTAAAAGACTTAAATAGTGAAAAAGGCCTTCGAGCATTGAGTCTGAAATCGTATACACTTTAAATCATATAGAACAAAATGGAAAAAGTGTAAGTTGTGAGTGGATACCATCCCACTGTGGCAGTGTAGGAAATGAGAAGGCCGACAGCTTAGCCCAAACAGCAATAACACACAACATTCGAATTGCTCTTCCTTCTAGGTTCCAGCTGCAGCTGAGATGCTCTCAAAAATCTTTTATAAATCGATGAGGCAATGGCAAATTGTTTAATTCCCAAAGAAGCCGTTTTTTGGTACCATATTCAACCAAAAATAGAACCTGCATAGTAGAAGAGACGAAAGCACAATCCATCGACTGAGAATCGGTAGTTGCCTTTTGAACAAAACCCCGTTCAAACTAGGCAAACATTCAAATGGTCTTTGTTTAAAAACAGAAAATGTACAACATTATATTTATATTATGCAAAGGGTGCCATAGTGATGCTTTCCGTGATACAAACAAAAATTGGCGTGTCCTTCAGGACAATAGAAACACCTTACATTTATTCGTTCTTCGAATGTGAATTTCATTGGCGACAATTTGTATTGATTTGTAATCGACAGCATAGATTATCTAGGTGTATTGATATAATGTTATTGATAAAAAGGTATACACACCCGTCTGAATACCATCGTGCTCTCTCTCTCTCTCTCTCTCTCTTTGTTTATTATTTCACTCCCTCTCTCTAGCTCTCTCTCTCTCTCTCCCTCTCCCTTTCCTTCTCTCTCTCTACTAGCAATATCTCACTCTATCTTATGTATCTCTTCTATCTCTGTCATTCTCTGATTCTCTCTCCCCTCTCCCGCGGCCTCTGTCTACTAACCCTCTCTCCTCTCTCTATATCTCTCTCTCTATCTCTAACCATTCCCTCCTTACTTATTTGTTATCATTTACTCATCTAACTTTTTCTCTATTGCACTCATTGTCACTTTTCGTACGTGTCTCTCTGATTTTCCCATGACCCTTTAATTGATCCTATATACACCCACACAAATTTTGTCAAAGATAAGAATCTGCTGGACTAAATTTTTATCCTTTGTGATTTTAACTTCATTCATATTTCTCATATCTCTATATGAATACGAAAGTGTGTAAAGTTTCATTTCAACTGTTTATATGCTCGTTGTCCTTTCGTAATATGTATGCCTGCAGTATGATCGTAATTTAAGGGACCCTGCAAAGTTATATTCTAGATATCTAAACTATACCCCTTTTTTCCAACTTCATTGTCCCCATCTCCTTTCTTCTTTCTATCTCTTGTACACACATATCTTCATCTTTCTCCCATCTCTTCAAAATTCCAATTTTTCTGTCTTTTACCCTTATCATTTCATTAATCGCTCTACGTGTCTCCAATCTCTCTTTCTATCCCTTACTCTTTTGTTAATATGTTAAATTTCAATTCACTACCCCCTCCATCTTTCTCTCCCATACTTTTTCTCCCCTCTCTCTCTCTCTCACTCACTTTTTTGCTCTATCTCTTTCCGTACCCCCTCTCTCTCTCTCTCTCTGTCTCTCTCTTTACCTCATTCAATGCATGTATCAAAAAGAGGAAAACTACATGGTTACACATACAGCAGAAGTGTTTATTCATTACAAATATACCTAAGAGAATATCTAACAATTCAAATTACCATTAGAATGATTCACGTACGTTCCTATTGAATAGTATATTCTTTTATTCCATATCAAATTTTGATAGTAAAAATAGCAAAAGCGAAAGTTAAGGCAAATTTGTCAAATTTCTAAACTGCTTATTGCAAGTTGATAACAACCACAATCAAATTTCGTGTCATATATGGTTATTGTCTTTGTATTCCGGCGTCAGATTCAATCAAAGGGATTCAAATGTCAAACCAGTTGGATGGAGACAAGCCGTCCAATGGATCGCAACGTCTTTACACATGAGTTATCTATTTGCGACAGATTGAAAGCGAAGATTATCATTTGTTTTGTGTATTATACTAATAATTCACATTTGCGAGTGCTTTAGTGAGTACCCTTGCATGCAGGTTCTGTCACAATAAGATAATGAACGAGACTATTATCCGGTTAATTGCGATTTAACCAAGTACCGTGCATATCACTTATGCACGAGCTTCAAAACATGAATGATTTGTTTCATAAAACAGGGCCTCGTCTGCTAAAGAGCTGATATCAATAGCAACTATGTACACAAGAGATAGGAGACTGCAAACACTTTATATCAAAGACGGGCCTAAGTCGGCAATTTGAATTTAAGTCCAGAATAAGCAAAAGACCTGATCACCATTCGCTTTAAATGACATCACAGTACATAGGCGCAGCCGAACTGTGTAATACGGGTCTCAGTGTGTTCAGCAATGACATTGCCTTTTGAAACTATTTGCATTTCATCGTGCCTTCATTTTGGTGTCATTTGGCAAATAAGACCGACCTTGGCAGTTCACAGTTGCGTCATTAGTCGACCAAAGCAGATGTAGATTTCATTTCGATTATCAAACCTGACATAACAGTGACGATGTTGTCAGCTGCGAACCTTGTTTATAATCAAGACAACTATTATTGCTATTCTGTGAATTTTATAATAATTGTTTATGCGATATAATATTTCATAGCTATTTTATGTCATAAAGGTATTATTTCTCCTAGTCTATCGAACAAATTTATTTTTAATTCTGAAATACATTCATATACAACTTATCAAAACTGCTGTCTCTAAAAATTCAATTTTCTTTAAAGGATCAATTTTATGGAATGAGTTACCTCCTAATGTTAAAGCAAGTCTAACTCTGAATACATTTAAAAAGAGATACAAACAATTACGTTTTGGTGAATAGTATTTTATTAGTTTATATATATATATGCAATCAGGTGTTAGATGCCAGGTGTTAGTTGTTAGGTGTTAGGTGTAAGGTGTTAAGTGTTGTAGGTTAAAATTCTTTGTTATGTCACTAGGGACCAACACCACACAAGACTTAATTGTTCTTTCTTGCTGGTTCCTCATTCGCATATATGTATATTTGTATTTTATGTTTATCGTTCATTATGTTATTTGTATGTCCTTTACTTATCTGTAAATACCAATGTTATAATCATGTATGTTTTTATATGACGAATGAAATAACATGAAATGAAATGAAATAGACGAATCAAATTAGTGTCGATGTCACAAAGGCAAATATTTCTTAAAAGATTATCACACAATATATAACTCGCAGATACATATAGTTTCACATGTACAATGGCTATACCGGGAAAATGTTGACATTATGATACTGTATTTCCATTTAATTACACTCATCTAGATCTACACTCAAGATATTCAATTTCATAATAAAGGGTAGTCCACTATTATAAATGATAACTCATTGGTACATACATTTACCTCTACTTTGTACTTATTGACTTAAAAAGCAGCCATTCATAGAATGGAAAAGAATTAAAACAATCATTATTAATAACAAAAATCCATCAGCCCATCGACAAACCATCACTAAGACAAAGGCAATGACGACAAATAAGAAGGCGAAGTATATCTTAAAATGCAGCTGTCTTAACATCATTCGACACCGATAAAATATAAACATTATGAGAACTACATGAAGCCCTAAATTCCTAATATTATTTTTTGACAGCATAAATGCCTTTCTGGATTTCAGCCTACAAAATATTATTTCATTTGTATACCATGCGAGGCTATATCTCAATCAGAAATTATTTTTCTCAAACACAATCATGATCTGCTGAGAGCCAAAAGGGCGGCAACTAATAGATTTTTGCATAGAGTTATCGTCCTTTAAGTGTCATTAATAGACCTAAAAAGATTCAACAGCACTAAATCACACTGCCACGATATCAAATATTTGCACACCATACCCTCGCTAAGACTTTCAAGAAACCAACCGAGTGCAGTTCTAATAATGCTAATAATAACAATAATAATAATAATAATAATGATAATGATAATTATAATAATAACACAAAGAAAAGAAGAAGGAGAAGAAGAACAACAATAATAATGACATTAATACCAATGATAATAATAATGATAAAATGGTTAATGAATAAATAAAGTAAAAAGATAATGATTACAATAACGACTGATAGTGTATTTAAATGAATTTTTATATTTACTACATAGCTATCTTAAAAGGGCATATGTTTATTTCCTCATAGCCTGCCATAAGGCTGCGTGCACGCTATCATTATAGTGCTTTGTACACGCGAGCAAGCTACTGTTTCTCTGCTTTTTGCATGTTTGCACGCATTCGTAATAGCAGTTATTGTTCCTGCCCATTGGACTGTGCCTAGTGTTTTACACGCGCTATTGATAGTACCATCGCGTTAATCCGATTATCTCGTTATAAACTTGGCACTTGGGGGATTTGTGGCTTGGCACAATGGGGATTAGCCCTGTGGCAGGATTAGAGTTAAGCAGTGGCGTATCTTGGGGTGCAGAGGGGTTTCACGCCCCGGGCAGGGGGAATCAAAAACACAAAAATAAGAGACATTTATCATCCTGGATTGCGCTCCCCTAATTATGCAATTGCAGGGTAAAGTGCTTAGGAGATAACCCTATTAAATGGTTTGAAAAAATAGAAAAAGTCACAAAGTTTGGTCACTATGCTCCCTTGCATATTTTTTTAAAATAATCTATGAGTCGGTCGCTGTGCTCCGAACCTTGTAAAGCCATTTAAACAAATTCGGATACATATCTCAGGTAAGGGACAGATCATTTCTACGTAGTGAAAAGTGAGGAAATCTGGTGTGTGTCTATGAGCTGACAGAACAGGGACCCGTTTTACAAAGCCTTTTTTCAATGACAAATGACACTAATCAGTCACAAATCTGTTGATAACTAATTAGAAGCAAGGATTTCAGTAGCTTATAACAAAAATTGTCATTTTTCACTGATGACAAGTTTTGTGAAACGCCCCCCCCCCCCCCAGGTGTATGTAGGGGGCACACTTTTGTCATTTGCTTCGGGCGCCATTATCCCTATCATACACTTTTACGTTTACAGCCTTGGTCCAGGATAGGTTCCAACATTCTACATATAGACAACAATCATACTCAACATGGGTGACATCAGGACTGCCACCAATCCGGCGGAGAGGGCGGTAGCGGTGTTGCAATTGTCGCCAATACAGCATGCGAGATCGTAATACACATCATCACGTCCATTCACGACGGAGGCAGGAATACCCCTACTAGCAAGGTTATCATAGGAACATTGATTCCCATGGTAGAGACAGCCTCGGATGATGTCCTGTACTCCATCAAATCTGGCTGTAGCGCTCTGTGAAATCAGAAGAAGAAGATATAATCTTTAACGAGAGACCTGAATAACCAACACTCTTCAATCAGCATATTAGGCTGTGAATCGCAACATCAGAAGAGTTGCAAAATACTTAAAATCCTATGACTAATCAGCTTATGATAATAATAATATTATTTGATATATTTATACTGCTCCAGTCTACTACGAAATGATTTCGGTGTTCGATTTAAGGGATTCCATTACTACCGGTACTCATTTAAGATCTAGCAGTAATATTTTCTAATTCGTCACCCTTAATTGTTGAGGATATCGATAAGCTACTAAGACTGTATACTTACGTAGCACAGCCCCGGACACTCAACACTGTATACTTGGGCTGAAGAGGCATCGAAGGAACCTTGTGCGCATCCGGTGTCACTGCGGGTACCTGGTACCTCCGAGTACTGGCACCGGTGGCAGGTGTTAGTCAGAGCATTGTCACTCAGGTGTGATTGTAAGGTGGCGGTGTTGCAACGCTCGCCTGTGCAACATTTCCAGCAGTCTCTGGGGTCCTTCCGACAGTCAGTGACGCAGTCATCTGAATCCATACATCCACGCCTGTAGGTGATAGTGCCTGGAGACACAACACTCGATGAAGAAGAGATTGAACTACCTACCTGTATTCATGCAAACATGAAGGATTTATATCTAGGTTAATAAAGGGAAGGGAAAATTGGGTGACAAGCTTTTTTTCTCACTTTAAATTAGGTTAGAAATGATCGGGATTACACCAAGTAAGGGGAAGATTGGTTCAAAATGAAATCTGATAATAGTAATAATAATAATAGTAATTATAATAATAATAATAATAATAATAGTAATGATCATAATAATAATAATGAAACTCATGCTAGTAATAATGAATGGGAATTGAAATCAATTAAATGCTCAAGGTGCATTGTACAATAAAAAGAAAGAAAGAAAAAAAAATATAGCACTGGGTCAAGACATGCTGATCCTATTAATCTTACACCCATCTAAGTTAACTGCACGAATGAATAGAAAACCCCGAATAGACAATAATAATCAGAACCAGGCCATTGTTTTATGAAACTGTAATCATAATTACAATTAAGTGCACCAACATCCCGTTGACAGTTTGTTACATTTAATTCACGCGTTCGGGCTCGGATAGTATTATTAATGAAATTTGCGCTTTAGGTTAGAAGCCAAAGTTTTCGCATGTATAAGTTTGAATTAAGGTTACCTGGCCATTAAATTCCTTCCAAACTTTAACACGGGCGGTCTAAATGCCTCTGATGGGCTCGGATGCTACTACGAAAAAAACCTAAGCTCTTAATATTCATTGTTCCGATATCTAATTAGTCTAAAGTTTAAACAAAAAAAACGGTTTGAGATACGGCAACAGAACATGTGCACCCTCAATATACTACTTGAACAGCTATGACGACTATACAAACACTGCGCAGGGAAAAAAATACCTGGAAATTTCTTTTATTCAACCAGCAGGAATATGCAGTTTCACCTATTTTGTATAAATAATGGCACATTGTATTTTTGTTAACCGTCTTATTTAAATTAAAGTAGAAATAAGGGAATTCAAGTTTCTGATTACTCACATAGCATGAGGATGTAGTAGGGCACGTTGTGGTGCTGGTGTCAGCTTGCGTTGGGGTTTTGCAGTTATTATTATCGCTCTCAGTCTCCCCATCTTGGTATGTATACGAACACGAGTAACATTGAACTTGTGCAGAAACCACCCACAAAGAACCTGGAAGGAGAAAGATAAGTGTTGTCACTCATGGATTTCATTCCTTCGACGGGGTAGTAGAACGGTAAGGCTGGAATAATGAATTCATCCATTTATCGGCCAATAAGGGGCGACGGACCATTTTGAAAAGTTAGGTGGGGGCGATGTCGACTTTTTAGACGGCCCTCTAAGCAATGCTAAAGATAGTAGCGGATGGTGATGCAGGATGGGTGTTTGTTTAAGAGTAGGTTTTCGTACTGCGAGCGAGGCAACACATTCAAGCTTGCAACAACTGTACAGTGGAGACAGACATAGCTACGCCAAGAGACTCTCTTGAAAAGGTCGCCCATCACGCTCATAAGTTTGGCCACCTTAAACTTAGATCATTTACAGGATCTAAGTCACTGACTGGTTTAGACAACAGTGACGTAAACTCAGGCCGGCGTTTTTATCCCACCTATTTAGCCCCATACATCAACGTTTGAAAAATGGAAGTAGCATGATTGTATATTACGAACCCCCCCCCCCCCCCCCCCCCCCCCACACCACCCACACACACACGCACGCACCCCTTGATATGAGTTTTGTACGCAAAGTAAAAATTAATAATGCATGAGATTGAAATCGATATATCTCGATACGTTTTGATCACGGCTTCAGGAGCGATGAAATGTCCTAAAAGGGGCGGAGCCAAATACGCTTAGACTGAATGGTGACGCTGCAACTTATATGCAAATGAGGCAATCTGCGCGTGCTACCTTGTCGCCTATACTGTTTATTTTGTCTATGCCTCCGCCCCGATTCACTCACGTACGCTCGCGCTCATGCATCTCACAATTGGGTAGGGTTGTCAGCCGCCGCCTTAAGCTTGAATTTAATGGTTCCCATTTTAGCCTACGGACAACTTTCTGTGTTAAATGTAAAAGGATCATGTTTCTTTATACCATCAATCATATCAACATTGACACAATTCATCTTCGTAACCGAGACTCTCACTTTCTCTCCCAAAGATGCTCTTCAAACAAACGATCTCCATCCCCTCATCCTTGAAAATCAGCCAAGATCTAGGCTTTGTAAGTAACACTCAATACACAAGATCGTCACCTCTTTGGCAAGGCAAAACAGTACAGCAATAAATGCATGGTAATTAAAATATAAACGGACACTTTATCAACAATTGAATTGACATTGCCCAAAATACAAGGTCCCACTAGCCTATTTCATGCGACAGGTGGGGGTTGTGCAACATTTTCTTCAGCGATAAATGCTCCCTACTCTTACCAATATTAAATTCAACTCTGGACCAAATACTACACGCTTTCCTAACCCTAAACCTAAGACTAACCAAACACCCAATTACAACGCTAATCCATGTTAACATGACTGTTGATTTTTTTTTTAAAATCTTAGCAGGTGTAACAAGAATAATTCGTATCGAATTGCTTCACAACAAATACGTACGCATAAACTTTGTTTACATTACGAAAATATCCTTTTCAAAAATCTAATGATTATGATAGAGTGGCTATTTCGGGACATCTTCCAAGGCTAGAGGTTGTATCGCCAAAGATGCAAGTTTATCAGAACCCGAAACTTAATGTTAAAAACGCAAAATATAAATGTTCACTTATATATTTAGACTTTGTCTTACCTAGTAGCATTAAAGCCAAGAGACTCAATTGAATCCTAAAATCCATCTTCCTTTTTTTCCTGCAATGTATCGTTGCTAACCCTGAACCTGTAGTCAGTTCGATCCAACCGATCCGCTCTATCTTACACACGTCCGATCTGTCTAAAGGCTACGTGGAAAGTAAAAGCGGAGAGGAGAGGTTCTACCTTTCTATGAATGAATACGTGACCAGGGATGCAGCGGCTGCCATAGTGATACCTTCCGTGGTATAAACAAACTCTGGCGCGTCCATAGCGATAAAAAAAAACTGGACGATGAAAAGATATCTATATCTACTCATGCTTTAACCTTAATTTGTTACGCGTCAATCAGTATCGATTTGTGATGCATAGCATAGTATCCCACGGGCGTATATCCTCACAAAAACGTAACAATTTAAATATGACTTGATAGTCTTGTTATCTCTTTTATTTTCTCTTTTTTCCGTTCTCCCATTCTCTCTTTCTCTTTCAGTATCTTATTATCTGAATCTCCCCGTTTCCCCCTGTGTGTGTGTGTGTGTGGGTGTGTGTGTGTGTGTGTACTCTTGTTAAGGGTGTAAATCGGGGACAATTGTGCGTAACATACCTTCCAATTAGGGATATTGGGTAAATCGGGGATAGCCTCGATTTCCAAATCGTTGGAAATGCTTTAGAAACGCTTAAAAATCATTATAAATTACTCTCTCTCTCTCTTTAACACTCTTTCACATGCTCTATACACGCATCTTATACATATCAATAACATTATGCTAACTATCATCTCCTCAAAATGACTTGTAGATCGTTTATAGTTCATTCGTAAAGAGGTAAGATATTAAAAACGACCAGAAATTGGTTTAATTTAAAGTAGGCATTCACTACTTTTATATTCGTTTTCACATTGACAAAACGTTATGTGCACCCTGGAAGTCAAGAACAGGATATAGTACCTTGATATTGCAAACTGATTTAGTCAAAATTAATGACAACATTAAATATAAACGTTCATTTTAAAATATAGTTTTTAAATTGTTTGTTTACTTATGCATACAGGTAGAGGTCGAAAGACGACGTTGAAAAAGAAGATTTAATGAAACACCTCTTGTTCCAATTTAGTGTCAACGGTTTAACATTGTTGGTTTAATTAAATTGTAAACAATTAGGGCATATTCAGCGACTACCTAGATTCATATCAATAAAACCTCTGATTTTCAAAAAATACATGTATGACGTAGTAAGATCCTGAAAATAACAGGATAAACAATCAATTCTCCTTTCAAAGCAAAGGAACTACATTTTGGGGAATAGTTTTGCTTGGCTGTTTAAATATCAATATTTACCGCCTAGCAAATCCAGGAACACCAAGTAAGCAAAAAGTGTTTGTACCAGTCAAACGATACATAAAAATTGAAAGCCCTTACAAACGATCAACGCTTTGTTGAAATACGCACGTGACCAGTGCCTACTATGCAACGGGTGCCATAGTGATGATTTCCGTAAAACAAACAAAAATTGGCGTGTCCTTCAGGACAATAGAAGCACCTTACATTTATTCGTTCTTCGAATGTGAATTTCATTGATGACAATTTGTATTGATTTGTAATCGACAGCATAGATTATCTAGGTATATTGATATAATTGTATTCATAAAAAGAAATAAACACCCGTCTAAATACCATCGCTCTCTCTCTCTCTCTCTCTGTTTATTTATTTTCCTTTCTATCTCCCTCTCTCTCTCTCTATCTCTCTCTCCCTTTCTTTCTCTCTCTCTACTAGCAATATCTCACTCTATCTTATTTATCTCATTCTCTGATTATCTCTCCCCTCTCCCACTACCTCTGTCTACTAACCTTCTCTCCTCTCTCTATCTCTCTCTCTCTCTAACCATTTCCTCCTTACTTATTTCTTATCATTTACTCATCTAACTTTTTCTCTATTGCTCTCATTGTCACTTTTCGCACATGTCTCTCTGATTTTCCCATGACCCTTTAATTGATCCTATACACCCACACAGATTTTGTCAAAGATAAGAATCTGCTGGACCTATTTGTATCCTTTGTGCTTTTTAACTTCATTTATATATCTCATATCTCTATATGAATACGAAAGTGCGTAAAGTTCATTTCAACTGTTTAAATGCTCGTTGTCCTTCGTAATATGAATGCATGCAACTGATCATAATTCAACAGACCCTGCCAAGTTATATTCTAGAAATCTAAACTATACCCCTTTTTTCCAACTTCATTGTCCCCATCTTCTTTCTATCTCTTGTATACATATATCTTCATCTTTATCCCATCTCCCCAACTATTTCTTTTCTCTGTCGCTTACCCTTCTCATTTCATTCATCGCTCTACGAGTCTCTAATCTGTGTTTCTATCCCTCCCTTTTTTGGTAATGTGTACAATTTCAATTCACTACACCCTCTCTCTCCCACACTTCCCCCTCTCTCTCACTCATCTTTTCTGCCCCCTCTCTCTCTCCCCCTCTCTTTCTCTCTCTCTTTATTTCTGTACCTCCCCTCTCTGTCTTTCTCTGTCTCTCTCTGTCTGTCTGTCTCTCTCTTTATTTATATACCTCCTCTCTCTGTCTCTCTCTCTCTCTTTCTCATTCAATGCATGTATCACAAAGATGAAAACTACATGGCTACACATACAGCAGAAGTGTTTATTCATTAAAAATATGCCTAAGAGAATTCCTAACAATTCAAATCACCATTAGAATACTTCACCTATTCTCATTAAGTTCCCATTGAATAGTATATTCTTTTATTCCACATCAAAATTTGATAGTAAAAATATCAAAATATAGAAAGTTAAGGCAATTTCTTCAAATTTTTAAACGGCTTATTGCAAGTTAATAACAACCACAATCTGTGAAATACGGGTCTCAGTGTGTACAGCAATGACATTGCCTTTTGAAACTATTTGCATTTCATCTCGCCATCATTTTGGTGTCGTTTTGGAAATAAGACCGACATTGGCAGTTCACAGTTGCGTCATTAGACGACCAAAGCAGGTGTAGATTTAATTTTGATTATCAACCCTGACATAACAGTAACAAAACTCGTTTATAATCATGAACAAAATTATTGCTATTCCGTGAACTTATTATCATTGTTTATGCGATATTAGTTGTCATGAATCGAATTAGTATCGTTGTCACAAAGGCAAATATTTCTTAAATGATTATCACACTATATGTAACTCGCAGATAGATATAGTTTCACATGTATAAAGGCTATACAGGGAAAATGTTGACACTGTGATACTGTATTTCCATTTTATTACACTCATCTAAATCTACAGTCAAGATATTCAATTTCATCTAACTCCCATACTATAACAAACATGTGGGTTCTTTTTCAACATAAATTTAGGTTGATTTTACTCCTATAATAAAGGGTAGTCCACTATTATGATAACACTTATTGGTATAATCCTTTACCTCTACTTTGTACTTATTGACCTAAAAAGCAGCCATTCATAGAATGGAAAAGAATTAAAACAAAAATCCATCAGCCAATCAACAAACCATCACTAAGACAAAGGCATTGACGCAAATAAGAAGGCGAAGTATATCTTAAAATGCAGCTGTCTTAACATCATGCGACACCGATAAAATATAAACATTATGAGAACTACCTGAAGCCATATCTTCCTAATATCATTTTATGATAGCATTAATACATTTCTGGATTTCAGCTCTCAAAATATTATTTCAGTTGTATACCATGCGAGGCTATATCTCAATCAGAAATTATCTTTTTCAAACACAATCATGATCTACTGAGAGCAAAAAGGCCGGCAACTAATAGATTTTTACATAGAGTTATCGTCCTTTAAGTGTCATTAATAGACCTAAAAAAAGATTCAACAGCACTGAATCACACTGCAACGACATCAAATATTTACATATCATACCCTCGCAATGACTTTCAAGAAACCAACCCAGGGCAATTCTAATAATTATGATAATAACAATAATAATAATAATAATGATAAAATAAAAATAATAACACAAAGAAAAGAAGAAGGAGAAGAAGAAAAACAAAAATTATAACAATAATACCAATGATAATAATAATGATAAAATGGTTAATGAATAAATAGATTAAAAAGATAATGATTACATTAACTACTGATATTGTATTTAAAGGAAATTTTATATTTACTACATAGCTGTCTGAAGAGGGCGTATGTTTAATAAGCAGTGGCGTATCTAGGGGTTCAGAGGGGTTTCATGCCCCGAGCGGCACTCGAAGGGGGGGGGGGGATATAAAAAAAAACGTAACAATAAGAGACATTTGTCGTCCTGGATTGCGCTCCCGTAACTATGCTACTTGCTGGGTAAAGTGCTTAGGAAGTAGCCCTCTGTAGCCCACTATGCTCCCTCGCATATATTTAGGTGTTTTTTTCTTCTGGAACTGGTAATTTGCATCTAAAATATGGATACTAGTGCATCCTAGCGTCTTCTTAGGGTTAAATTCTAATTCTCTCTGCGTTGCTTCCAGGCACAACTGTTTTATCAGGATCTTGTTGAACTTACTCCCCCCAAAAGATAACGTGCACTTTCAATTACAAACAACATTTACCCAAACAATTAATTTGTCAATTTCCTTGCTGAAGTATATAGCTAATCCTTTGAATTACATTTTTTGATTTTGCGCCCGAAATATAGAAAATTTGATTTTTTTTTTTGTTTGTTTCGATGTCTAAACTTTTTTTATTTTTTAAATAAATCACTTTTTATGTTATTTTGGTGACTTTTGGTTAAATAATCTATCAGTCAGTCGTTTTGCTCCGAACCTAGTATAGCCATTAAAAAAACTTTGGATACATATCTCAGTTAAGGGACAGACGTAGTGAAAAGGTGAGGAAATCTGGTGTGTACCTTTGAGCTGACAGGACAGGGACCCGTTTCACAAAGCCTAGTCATCAATGAAAAATGACAAAAATCAGTGACAAATCTGTTAATAACCAATTAGAAGCAAGGATTTCAGTAGCTTACAACAAAAACTGTCATTTGTCACTGATGACAAGTTTTGTGAAACGCCCCCCCCCCCCCCCACCAGGTGTATGTAGGGGGCACAATTTTGTAATTTGCTTCGGGCGCCATTGTCCCTGTCACACAGATACGCCACTGCTTTTACGTTTACAGCCTGTCAACTACGGAGTCTTTAGGTTCCAACATCCTACATATAGACCACAATCAAACTCAACACGGGTGACAGCAAGACTGCCACCAATCCGACGGAGAGAGCGGTAGCGGTGTTGCAATTGTCGCCAATACAGCATGAGAGATCGTATTTCACATCATCACGTCCATCCACGACGGAGGCAGGAATACCGCTATAAACAAGTTTATCATAGGAACATTGATTCCCATGGTAGAGACAGCCTCGGATGATGTCCTGTACTCCATCAAATCTGGCTGTAGCGCTCTGTGAAATCAGAAGAAGAAGATATAATCTTTAACGAGAGACCTGAATAACCAACACTCTCCAATCAGCATATTAGGCTGTGATTCGCAACATCAGAAGAGTTGCAAAATACTTAAAATCATATGACTAATCAGCTTATGATAATAATAATAATATTTAATATATTTATACTGCTCCAGTCTACTACGAAATGATTTCGGTGTTCGATTTAAGGGATTCCATTCCTACCGGTACTCATTTAAGATCTAGCAGTAATATCTTCTAATTCGTCACCCTTAATTGTTGAGGATATCGATAAGCTACTAAGACTGTATACTTACGTAGCACAGCCCCGGACACTCAACACTGTATACTTGGGCTGAAGAGGCATCGAAGGAACCTTGTGCGCATCCGGTGTCACTCCGGGTACCTGGTACCTCCGAGTACTGGCATCGGTGGCAGGTGTTAGTCAGAGCATTGTCACTCAGGTGTGATTGTAAGGTGGCGGTGTTGCAACGCTCGCCTGTGCAACATTTCCTGCAGTCTCTGGGGTCCTTCCGACAGTCAGTGACGCAGTCATCTGGATCCCCACATCCACGCGTGTAGGTGATGCTGCCTGGAAACCGAACACTCGATGAAGAAGAGATTGAACTCTGTACCTGTATGCAGGCAAGTGTGAAGGATGTATATCTTGGTCAATAAAGGGAGGGGAAAATTGGGTGACAAGCATTTCTATCTATTTTTCACTTTAAATTAGGTTAGAAGATATTTATGTCACTTGAAATGATCTGGATTACACCAAGTGAGGGGACGATTGGTCCAAAACGAAATCTGATAATAATACTACTACTACTACTACTACTACTAATAATAGTAAGTATAATATTAATAATAATGAAACTCATGTTAATAATAATGTATGGGAATTGAAATCAATTAAATGCTCAAGGTGCATTGTACAATAAAAAGAAAGAAAAAAATATATATATATATAGCACTGGGTCAAGACATGCTGATCCTATTAATCTTACACCCATCTAAGTTAACTGCACGAATGAATAGAAAACCCCGAATAGACAATAATAATCAGAACCAGGCCATCGTTTTATGAAACTGTAATCATAATTACAATTAAGTGCACCAACATCCCGTTGACAGCTTGTTACATTTAATTCACGCGTTCCATTGGGCTGTCGGCGAACTTGACGGTTTTGTGAAAATTATCGGGCTCGGATCGTATTATTATTGAAATTTGTGCTTTAGGTTAGAAGCCAAAGTTTTCGCATGCATAAGTTCGAATTAAGGTTACCTGGCCATTAAATTCTTTCCAAACTTTAACACGGGCGGTCTAAATGCCTCGGATGGGCTCGGATGCTACTACGAAAAAAACCTAAGCTCTTAATATTCATTGTTCCGATATCTAATTAGTCTAAAATTTAAACAAAAACGGTTTGAGATACAGCAACAGAACATGTGCACCCTCAATATACTACTTGAACAGCTATGACGACTATACAAACACTGCGCACGGAAAAAAATACCTGGAAATTTCTTTTAGTCAGCCAACAGGAATATGCAGTTTCACCTATTTTGTATAAACAATGGCACATTGTATTTTTGTTAACCGTCTTATTTAAATTAAAGTAGAAATAAGGGAATTCAAGTTTCTGATGACTCACATAGCATGAGGATGTAGTAGGGCACGTTGTGGTGCTGGTGTCAGCTTGCGTTGGGGTTTTGCAGTTACTATTATCGCTCTCAGTCTCCTCATCTCGGTATGTATACGAACACGAGTAGCATTCAACTTGTGCAGAAACCACCCACAAAGAACCTGAAAGGAGAAAGATAAGTGTTGTCACTCATGGATTTCATTCCTTCGACGGGGTAGTAGAACGGTAAGGCTGGAATAATGAATTCATCCATTCAGGCGCGTACGCAGGATTTTTTCAAGGAGGGGGGGGGGGGGGGGGGGGGGTTAACATTTATAATTTGGGCCGAAAATTTCGCAACGACTCAGCCAGCCGCTGAATAAGCGGGGGGGGGGGGGTAAGATGACCCTTTTTTTTTTTTTGGTCTCGAAATTTGAAAATTTGACATTTGGCTCCGTTGTGAGGGGGGAGGGGGTTAGGTTAGGGGGGGGGTGATGGAGGGGTTTACACACATAAAAAAACCAGGTGGGGGGGGGGGGGGGTTAACCCCCCCCCCCCTTAGAACGCGCCTGGATCCATTTATCGGCCGATAAAGGGCGACGGACCATTTTGAAAAGTTAGGTGGGGGCGATGTCGACTTTTTAGACGGCCCTCTAAGCAATGCTAAAGAAAGTAGCAGATGGTGATGCAGGATGGGTGTGTGTTTAAGATTTTCGTACTGCGAGCGAGGCAAACAAATTCAAGCTTGCAACAACTATACCGTGGAGTCAGACATAGCTACGCCAAGAGACACTCTTGAAAAGGTCGCCCAGCACGCTCAAAGTTTGGCCACTTTAAACTTAGATTATTTACAGGATCTAAAGCTATGGTCACAAATCAGAGCAGCGACCGACCGATCAGTAGCCTGCTCAGTAGCCTGCGACCGAGCGATGCCCAAAACGAGCGGTGCCTGGGCGGCCGCCGCTCGGTGGCCGGGCAGCCGCCGGGCAGAATCGGTTAAAAACTCGCCGCTCGGCCGCCGAGCAGACTACTTTTGGGTAATGTGACCATAGCATAAGTCACTGACTTGTTTAGACAACAGTGACGCAAACTCGGGCCGGCGTTTTCATCCCACATATTTAGCCCCATACATCAAAGTTTGACAAATGGAAGTACCATGATTGTATATTACGAACCCCTCCCCCCACACACACACACCCCAACACACACACGCACACACATACGCATGTACCCCTTGATATTATTTAAGTACGCAAAGTAAAAATTAATAATGCATGAAATTGAAATCGATATATCTCGATACTTTGTGATTAGGGCTTCGGGAGCGTTGGCATGTCCTAAAAGGGGCGGAGTCAAATTTGCTTTAATTGACTGTTGTTGTTGTTGTAGGTAATTGTTTAATGGCGTTCATTCAGTATTATTTAATTGACTGAATGGTGACGCTGTAACTTATATGCAAATGAGGCATTCCGCGCGTGCTACCTTGCCGCCTATACTATTTATTTTGTCTATGCCCCCGCCCCGATCCACTCACGCACGCACGCGCTCACGCATTAGGTAGGGTTGTCACCCGCCCCTACAAGCTTAAACTTAATGGTTCCCATTTTAGCTCAAGGTCGACTTTTGTGTACAATATTTTATTGAAGAAGTTTATGTATGTACCATCAAACAAAATCAACATTGGCAAAATTCAATTTCGGAATCAGACTCTCATTCTCTCCCAAAAAGATGCTTTTCGAACAGACAAGCCTTCTCCCCTCATCCTTGAAAATCAGCCAAGATCTAGGCGATGTAAGTAACACTCAATACACAAGATCATCACGTCTTTGACAAGGCAAAACAGTACAACATAATATGCATTGTAATTAAAATAGACACGGACATTTCATCTAAAATTGAATTCACAATGCACAAAATATAAGGTCCCACAATCCTATTTTATGCGACAGGTAGGTATGGGTTGCGCAACATTTTTTCAGCGAAAAATGCTTGGCGGCAATTCCCTACTTTCCCTATTAAACTGATTTTAAATTCAACCCTGGACCAGTTACTAAACACACTCCTAACCCTAAAGCTAACACTAACCAAACACCCAATTATAACGCTAACCCATGCTAACATGACTGTTGAAATACAATTTTTCTTAACAGGTGTAACAGGAATAATTCGTCTCGAATAACTTTCGTTACATTACGAAAATAGCCTTTTCAAAATTTCTATGATAATTATGAAATGGATGTTTTAGGACATTTTCCCAAACTAGAGGTTGTATCGCCAAAGATGGAAGTTAATCCAAACTCAGAACGCAAAATATAATTTTCACTTATATATTTAGACTTTGTCTTACCTAATAGCATTAAAGCCAAGAAACTCAATTGAATCCTTAAATTCATCTTCCTTTCTTTCGTAATGTATCCTTGCTAACCTCGAAGCTGTAGTCAGTTCGATCCAACAGATCCGCTCTTACACACGTCCGATCTGTCTAAAGGCTACGTGGAAAGTAATAGCCTGGTGGGAGAGGTTACACCTTTCTATGAATGAACACGTGACCAGGGATGCATCGGCTGCCATAGTGATACCTTCCGTGGTATAAACAAACTCTGGCGCGTCCATAGCGATAAAAAAAACTGGACGATGAAAAGATATCTATATCTACTCATGCTTTAACCTTAATTTGTTACGCGTCAATCAGTATCGATCGATTTGTGTAGCATAGCATAGTACCCCACGGGCGTATATCCTCACAAAAACTTAACAATTCAAATATGACCTGATATTCTTGCTATCTCTTTCATTTTCTCTTTTTTCCGTTCTCCCATTCTCTCTTTCTCTTTCAGTATCTTATTATCTGAATCTCCCCGTTTCACCCTGTGTGTGTGTGTGTGTGTGTGTGTGTGTGTGTCAATCACTTTAAAACCTCTCTCCCTCTCCTTTTCTCTTTCTCTATCTGTCCTTCTCTTTACTTCTCTCTCTCTCTCTATATATTGTATATATACATATATATTTATGTTTTTACACGTATGATGCTATAGTTGCTATATTTTAAAGCACAGTTATGACTGGCTCTTAACAATAACTGTAACTGTAAGATCGGTATCTTGATGTGTATGTTGTAAAGGTTGCCACCGAGAGATAGAGAGCGAGAGAGAGAGAGAGAGAGAGAGAGAGATTGAGAGAGAGAAAGAGGGAGAGAGAGAGAGAGTCTGTACTGCAAAAGATAAAGATGAGTTTTGCCATTGCATTTTGAGAGAAACAGTGTGGAATTTATCAGAAAAAGTTGATCATGTAAAGTAACAAGTCCTGTACACATAAAGATGTATATGGGACTACTCAAACATGTGGCATTAAAATCGGGCCTCATTTTAAAGCTGTTACTTGTCATGTTTAGACTATGAAAACATTTGAAGAGCAATGCTATTCAGGGAACATTTTTCTCTCTCATGTTCTTACACATTTGCATGATAGCGATGATAACGCTCACAAATTATTTTCCACTTCTCCCCAGAACTAAACCTTCTCTTTAAAGGCTCATTAAAAGTAATATGACGGGAGTTTTGACATGTTAGATATCCAATAACTTTACCACATGATTTTTCAGAAGGCCGATTTTAGAGTTATAGTATTCTTGAGTTATTCATGAGTTATACATGTACAAGGCTCCTAACGAGAGTATAAAATATATCTTAGCATGAACAGTGATCAAAGCCCAGAATATTGGGAGATACCTTAACGATAAAGGCCATTATGCGATTGCATTGTGAAAGAAATGTTGTGGAATCGATCAGAAAAGATTGATCATCTAGAATGTAAGTATTGGTGTGTACTGCAAGGTTCTGGAATCATCAAAATGATAAGAAATTTTTGTCAGTCTTGGTCAAGTTACAAGCACTGTACACAGAAAGATGTATATGGGATTACACACACGTGCGCGACACGTGCGTTATATCTATCAGGTCCAAATAGACATAATAATTTACCAAATATATCAATTAGTAGGCGGTTTCTCTGCAAAATTTGTATGATCACGTATTAGTCGAAACATATTCTTTCACATGATTGGTAATAAGAGTTTCCATTTCATTTTTTGAGAGGGGGGGCGTTTCCAAAATGGTCTTTACCTTTTAGTTTTTCTTACCATTGCTGCTGGAGGATGCTCTCCTGAAAAGGGTAGGCGCCCCTACAGCTAAATAGATATGATTCATGATTTTTACCAAAAATAAACTAAGTAAAGATTCAATAACAATCGAATTTGGTAATGTAAATATTCATTATGCTATTAAAGTCTAGGGCAATGCTGGTTTAATTTATCAAGATAGATTGTTTAAATTACAAAAACGTGCAATAAGAATTATTGATCATTCTTCTTTTCTTGCCCATACAATTCCAATATTTTATTCATTAAACATGTTGCAATATAGGGATGTATATTTATTACAAGTAGGTGTGTGTATGTATTTATGTCATCACAATCTTTACACAATTCACTTGCCATTGGCTTGTACAGTAATTGGCCTAAACCAAAAAATAATTATTTCCCAAGGACTATTTCCATGGAACACTCTTCCTCATTATATTCATAATTTTGCTAGTGTAAATGTATTTAAACGTAGGTATGAGAAATTTCTTTTTGGTAAATTCCAATAATCATTTGAATTCAAGATATATTTTGTTTGTATGTATGTTTGCTGTCTTAATTCGTGTATTGTATAATGTTTAGTAACGAACATTTTTCATATTCTTTTTACTAAAAGGGCCAACCTTTATGTAAGGATTATGTTTTATTTCAGGTTGCAACCTATTCAGTTAATTTTATGCCCTTTTCCAATATGTTCTTAATGTGTATTTTATGTCATAAAGCAGTTTGTTATATGAAATGTTGTCTTTTTAACTGATTGAAATAAATTGAATTGAATTGAATTGATTGCCCGTAATCTTAATCTTAAGTTACAAGACATTTCTAAGGTCATGATTGGATGGAGCGTCACGCGTCAAAGGGTGAACTCCAATCTTGTCACAAAAAGGAGTTGAGATTACAATTTTGTCTTTCTTATTTGTATTGTATTCATTAAACTTCATTGATGTACATCAATAATCTGTTTATAAACATATAAATCAATCAATAATTATGCAATGTAGCAAAACAGAAGGAAAATTATATACAGCAGACAAACTCTTTTTTTTTCTTCTCGTAATAATATGACACATAATGCATAAAGTAAATTATATATTGTACCATAATAAATCCAATGATCTAGATAAATAAAACCTAATACAACAATTTCATATATAAATTATAACCCATGCTATACAAAATAGACATATGAGATACATAAAATGCAATTGTATACTCTAGTATACAAGGTGACAGCCAGGGTCCAAACAATTTTTTCAATGACCTTCTTTTCAGTCATGTTTTATATATATTTTGATATCTTGTTTTTACTGAGTAAGAATCAATTTGAATATGTTGGAATACCAGCATTGGTACTCCGCAAGCTTTCAAGAGTGGTAGCTCCATCTCTGCGTGCCATCTTTGATGTCTCATACAGGACCAGTGAAGTTCCAGATGATTGGCGCCTTGCGAACGTGGTCCCCATCTACAAGAAGGGAGATAAAACAGATCCTGAGAATTACCGCCCAATCTCTCTCACAAGTATCATCTGCAAAATGATGGAGCACATATTTGCAAGTAACATCATGGGTCATGCGCGCAGAAACAGTATCCTCTGCCCACTTCAACATGGTTTCCAAGCTAAGAAGTCGTGTGAACTCCAACTGACTGGCTTTGTCACCGACCTCTTGAACAACATGGAGGACAACAATCAGACGGACATAGTAATCACAGACTTCAGTAAAGCCTTCGACAAGGTTGGTCACCAGAGGCTTCTGAAGAAGATGGAATACTATGGTGTGAGAGGCCACAACATTGACTGGATATCCAGTTTTCTCTCCAACCGTAAGCAGCAAGTTGTTCTAGATGGTCATACGTCATCAACGGTAGAGGTCCAGTCAGGTGTGCCTCAAGGGTCAGTACTCGGACCCTGCCTCTTCCTTTTCTACATAAATGACCTGCCAAACCAACTTTCAACGAAAGTCAGACTCTTCGCCGATGACACGGTTCTGTACCATACCATCCAGACACCTGAGGATGCAGACTTGCTACAGCAGGATCTTGATCAACTTTGTAGGTGGTCAAGCAAGTGGATGATGGCACTAAATCCAAAGAAATGCCAGGTCATAACTGTCTCCAGGAAGAAGACCAAGTATGTCCATCGTTATTCACTCAACGGAGAAATCTTGGAGTCTGTGTCAGCTGCCAAATACCTTGGCATTACTCTCACTGCTGACCTCAACTGGACACAGCATGTATCTGCCACTTGCAAGAAGGCAAACAACACCCTAGCCTTTCTTAGAAGGAACCTGCGTGTCAACTCCACTCGGCTTAAGACTACTGCATACCAGGCTCTCGTTCGCCCTCTTCTTGAGTACGGGAGTGCTGTTTGGGATCCACACACCATCAGATGTGTAAACCAGTTGGAGATGGTCCAGAGACGAGCAGCGAGATATGTTCTCAACCGCTATCATCATACATCTAGCGTCTCTGATATGCTGAGTCAACTTGGATGGACCTCCCTCCAGAAGAGAAGAGAGCATCAACGTCTCACTTTACTGTACAAGATGCACTACTCTTTGGTTGACTTTGACATCCACCACTACATCCAACCGGCAACAGTCGTAAGAACTACAAGATCGTCTCGTCCTTACTGTTATCGTGTCATGCAGTCACGAACAGAGCAACATATTCACTCCTTCTTTCCTCGCACTGTTCGACAGTGGAACGCTCTCCCTCTTGAGGTTGTCCTGGCTCCATCAGTGGAAGCCTTCCAGCGACAACTAAAGACCGGGGGGAAGTAAATTCCGGCAATGTTTTTTTACTGGCACTATGTATATATACACCTCTCACCTGCACACCTGGACATCCCCATGTCGCAACACACATGCACTCGCACACATCTGCAAGAATCTTCAGCAGTGAAGGAGGCAGATTATTTTGAAGAAGAAGAAGATGTTGTTTTGAGTTTTTCCTATTGCAGGATTGTAATATAGACCAAAAAGGGAAGGTCCTTAAGACGCTCAGCGTTCAATCTAAATGTAGCTTTGCTTGAAGGATGGCTGTGAACAAATTAACACGTAGTTTATCCACAATAATTCCAAACCTACATTTATTTCATTCAGTTTATAATGTTTATTACCTTCAGTGAGGAAAGATATATATTATTATCCGAATTAAAACCCTCATATCTCCAACTAACATAAACACTGTTTCCTCTATCGATGGAACACATTTTTCTTACTTTTGTCATGAAATCATTGTGACAATTTCATTTATTCCTCATAATCTCCTCAGAGCTTTATTGATAAGAATTTATTGATCAAATTTAAATTTTAAATGATCAATAGAGTATTGAGAAGATATGAAATTGATCTATTAAATATAAATC